AACTGAAATATATCTATCTATCCATCCATACTGATATCATGATAATTGTCCTACTATTATTGACATGCCTATTTGAAATATATCAGATTGAAATATATCTATTTTTCATTGATATAATGATACATTCAGCCTACTATTGTATATATTCACGACGTCCAGATCTGTTACAACAATGGTACATTCTACTTGAAGAGTTGAAGAGTTTCAACGCTGAAGAAAGTGGCAGTAAAAAAGATTGCGACAATCAAGATGTTGGCAGTAATGTTGCCAACAACAACGACAACAACAACAACAGCGACAACAACAACAGTGCCAAAAATGTTGACGAAAATGTTGAAAAAATTTATGGCGACAAACTAAAAACTGAGAAACAAGTCCCACCAACGTCTGCGAACCTAGTCTCAACTAAACAACGTAATAAAAAAAGGTTTAGGAATAAAAAAATTAATAATAATAATAATATTGTTATTAATAACTTTAATAATTATGCTCATAATAACAAAAATAATGATGATTGTGATGATGATGATGATGATGATGATGATGTGAGTAGAGATAATAATGATGGTGACCTGTCAAGCAGTGATCACAATAACACCAATGACTATTACAATCATTTAAAAAAATTCGGCTATAATAATTTCAGAAATAATAATATTAATTATAATAATTGTTTAAATAATAATAAAAATAATGATGAACATAATGGCAGTGCGATAAACAGTAATAACGATAACTCAAAGCAAAGAAAGTATAATAGGAAATACAAGAAACAAAACATAGATATAAAAAGTAGTGAACTAAGCGACGCCACCATTCAGCCAGCAACGTCAACAACAACATCATTAGCGACATCATCATCATCATCATCAGACACGCCAAAAAAATCATTACTATCACTTGCGTCGGCATCATCATTATCATCATCCTTACACTCATCATCATCAGTAACAGACAGCGAAAAAACCGGAAATGACGGTCTTATTTCCGGCCGAGTGACCAAAGATAATAGATCGAGGAGGGAATTCTTGGATATGACCGCCATGTTTGTTACGCTATTATTTTTCGTTATGATCGTCGCATTTGTTCTGGCTAAGGTTTATGTTAATTATCCGGATGTTAGCTTGGTTGATTTAGTATCTTTCGACGTTTCATTTCTTTTGCAATATCCGGACGACGAGGCCAAGGGACCGCCATTTTGAATTTAATTAATCGTCTTCAGAGTTTTTGTTTCACATTTATTTTCACTTTCCACTATATTTATATTGTTGTTGTTATTATTATTGCCTGTATTTTTCTGTTTAATTTACGTTCATAAATGTTTCAATTAGATATTGGAGGGTGGAGTTATTCGTTAAAACGCATGTTAATACGGTGAAAATGCATTTGTTTATTCGTGTATATATATATATATATATATATATATTGATATATATATATATATTATATATATATAGGTATATATATATACATATTACACACACACACACGCACACTCGCACACTTTACATTTATTATTATTATTATTATTCTCTTCATATCATCTAGATTGTTTATATTTTATTTGTTAAAAAATGCATTAATTTATTTAATTAATTTGATTTAAAATCAGCGAGTACTTGAAAAGTATTTTTCGATATAGAGAAGTTCGTTATAACGGTGATCGTCATATGAAATTTCCATTGATTTCAATGCCAACAATGACAAATAAAATCCTATTCACATTGGAAATTTGTCTTTTTATTACGAAAATAATTTTTTTTCATAATTTTTACTGCTGATAATTATTATGTACACGTTTCCTTTGTACGAATTCCAAATTATATTATAATTATTGTTATAATAATAAAATAATAATAATTCTAATAATTATTAATATTTTTATGGTTTCGTTATTATCTCTGTCGTTATAATTGTTTTTATTAACATTTATAATACTCGATATTTTAAATGCCAAACTGGATATATAACAAAAAAAAATTTTAATTATGAAATAAAATGCGCATCGATTTGTCTTTTTTTGGTTTGTTTACTTTTTCATTTCTACGTCATTCTTAAAAAATTAACCAAAAACTATTCATAGATGAAAATTTTATTTCGGAACATTTTTAAAATTTTGAAATTCTTTTTATTCTTACACTACTAAATAACTAATTGCTGATATTTTTTAAACCTGTCAAGCAGATAAGCACACACACACACACACACACACACACACACACACACACACACACACATATATATATATATATATATATATATATATATATATATATATATATATATGTATATATATTTACAATAATATAATTTTATTTTACTCATATAATTATTGACCTTTCATTCCATCAAATAATCATTCCACTAACATCATATTCTCTCGTTTATTCCTTGGGTTAAGTATTATGTTTAGTATATGTTCGATCGTTCGTTCATTCATTCATTCAATCATTCATTTATTCAATCATTTGTTCATCCATTCATCTAATCACTTGCCCATTCAGTCATTCCTTCATTCATCGATTTATACATTCATTCACTCATTCATTTTTATGCTTGTTCATTCATTCATTCATTTTTCTGCTTATTCATTCCTTCATTCGCACGTTCATCTATTTTTAATTAAGCACATCCCATATTCAATATTGAGATTTCTCAGAAACACACTGGACTCGCCACACGTACACACACACACACACACACACGCACACACACACACGCACACACACACACACACACACACAAACACATGCACACATCCTACATAATTAGTTTCTCGAACACATTTAGTCTTATACAAAAAACTAATTCTAATAAATACAACAAATACCAAAAAATACTAACCAGCAATGATGGCCTTTAACACATTTACACTACTTATTTACACACACACGCACCACACACACACAAACACACACACACACACACACGCGCGTACATTCAACAGACACACATGGATACATACACACACACACACACACACAATATGATCCACTGATATATAGATGTTATATCTGTTGATTCCATAAAAACAAGTTATATTTATTTTATTGTATCTGTCGAATATAACCACGAGAGAACAGGGAATGATATATGTATAAAAATAAAGGTGATAGAAAAACAACATTTTGTGGTATAGTAAATTTTTATTATTTTTTTCATCCGAATGAATGAATGAATGATTGAATGAATGATTGAGTGAATGAATGATTGAATGAATGATTGAGTGAATGAATGAATGAATAAAGATTGAATGAATAAACGGGTGACCGTAAAAAAATGAGTAATCAAAAAAGGAGAAAGAAAGAATCAATGAATGAATAAAATTTTATTTATATATATATATATATATATATATATATATATATATATACATATGTCTATATAACACAAATGCATTATTATAGTGTATTATTAACAAATAAATTTCAGTTAGTTAATTTAAGTCATGGAGACATCATTGAAACAAAAAAAAATTGAATAGACAAAATAAAAATACATTTATATCTATATTTATTTCTATTTATTTAATTCATATATAAAAATGAAACGCATACACACACACACACACAAACACACGTACGCATATACACACACGCACACGCATACCATACACACACGCATTCACAGACAGACAGACAGACAGACAATGAAAATATAGAAGCAAAGTGTATCTGCTTTCATATACGATGAAAGAAAATAAAATTTAGAAATACTGGAAAAAAATGATAACTAATATTTATTATGATACTAACTTTTTCATAAAACTTTCATTTATTATGAAAGAATGAATAAATGAATGAATGAATGAATGATTGAATGAATAACTGGATGAATGACTAGATGAATAACTGAACGAATTAATAAATGTCTTTTTAAAATTATTTTTATATAGAAAGAGCCATATATATGTACTAAAATAATGCAAATAGCACTCTACTCAAAAAGCAAACAAATTTTAAAAATAATTCCATTAAAAATAATAATAATAAATAACAGTCATTTTGTTAAAATAAATTTTCATGAAATTAAAATTAAAAAAAATTTAAAATTGTAAGAAATTAATGTTATCAAAAGAAGTTTATAAGATGAATATAGAGTGCAGCACTTAATATGCTTCAGCTGAAAAGCCAACAATAAAAATATCAACTGTGATGACATTAACAATAACCTCAACCACACTCATTCATTCGTTCGTTCATTCATTCATTTATCCATTCAATATTCATTCATTCATTTAACCATTCCTTCAATCATTCCTTCAATCATTCATTCATTCATTCACTCACTCAGTAAAACCAAAAAAAGGAACAGAGAAAAAAATTGAACACTTCACACTAGCATCATTTAATGTCATTAATAAAACTACAACTAGAAACTTAAAGCCACTAACAAAATCACACACATCACACACACACAAACACACACATACAAACACACGCACGCACACACGCACAGAGAACTTCGTCACATAGGAACGCTCTCGGTATGATAAACTCCAAACAGTGAGTTACTGATATCTTCGTCAATCAGCACTCCAATGGCATACCAGAATAACCAGGTGGTGATGATGACGAAGACGATGAAGATGAGTGAACTGGTGAACGATGACGAACAACTGATGATGTTTGTCGTTCCTGGAATATTATCATCATCGTCGTCACAGTTATCACTACTATTATCATCACCACTCTGATTATTATTATTATTATTATTATTACTATTAACAATATTATTTTGCTGTCTAGATGACTGTTGCCTAGTTTCTTTTCTGCAAGAAAAATAATAATAATAACAATATTAACGAATAAATAATGTTAAATAACAAAAACAAGAGAAAAATTGGATTTAAATAAATAAATAATATTGAGTGATAATAACAATTGAACAATGGAAATAAATAATAACAACGATAAATTATTGAGATATGACATTAATGGATAGTTATCAATGATTATCATAAAATAATTTAACTGAATTTAACTAGCTAGTTTAATTAAATATGTATGAATGATAATGTTTGCACGTGTGTGTGTTTGTGCACGTGTGCGCGATATAGAATAGGATGACAAATTCCTGTAATAATAATAATAATAATAATAATAATAATAATAATAATAATAATAATAAAAAGAAGAATAACACAAGCACATGCAACAACAACAACAGCAAAAACAACTAACACATTAGAAATTATATTATTAAACTGTTGGAAGATCCTTTCGTATTGGTCCTTCAGAAGTTCGACCTCTTCAAGTGTTGTCGACTTACCTGGTTCAAATGCATAGTCGGAAGAGTATATTGTATCTTCTTCGTGGAGCAGTAGATTATGAACCAGTGAGAGCTTTTTCTGTAGTATCTAAATTTTATTTGTGTGATTATTTATTTTTATAAAATGATATGTATATAAAATTATAAATTATTGATTTGAATAAAATGAAATATATTTATTACTACAATAAAATAAATATAGCAAAATTTAAACTTTTTTAAAAAATAAATGACCTAACTAATTCATATACAATAAAGAATAAATTAAATAAACAAACATAACAACATGAACCTTATTATAGTATAACAGTATAATAATTATATACTACAATACACACTGCTCTCTTAAGCTTAATTAACTTTTTAATAATAATGTAAAATTGTAAAATCAATTGAATTTAATTATTTAATAATTAATTTTTAATTAATATTCAATAATCTCTCAAAATCAGATCCATTAAAAATTTAAAAGTACAAAAATCTTAACCTTCAAGACAGCCATATTTTCATGTGTAGTCCAAACTTTTTTTTCGTCCATTCGGCCAGTGTCGTCTGCCTTTTCGACTTTAATGCCATTCAGCAGTTCCTCCATATCATTCAGGTCATTTTTTACGATCATCAATTTATCCTTGTTCATTCTGTCTTCCATTTTTAAATATTTTTATATATAATATATTGACAGCAGTTTCGACTGAAAAATTAATAAAATCTTTCTAAAAGTAATTTTTTTAAACTAACTAAATTTAAGCTAAAATATTTTTAACAGCTGTGAAGACTGATTCACTTTTAAGCATTAGTAATGACTAATAGGCTAAATAGATAAAATGGCTTTTCAAGTTTAATTGAAAAGTTCGTTCAATGGTTATAGTTTGGCCTTAATATTTATTGTAAATTAATAACTACTCTTTCTTTTTTTATATATATATTATTTATCTATAAAATAGCTTGGACATTCTCAATGCCATATCGTGTTCTTCCCGCCATGGGTCTAACTTGGGAATTAAACCCATGGATCTTCTCCATTCTCGTGCCTTATCCTTTCAGAACATTGGCGACCATTGACCTCCACAAAACTCGATCTTTAACACTATTTTAGCAGTTGAAATGTGGTGAAATTCAACAAGTGGCACAAGGACTTCACGAATATTGTTCGTTGTTAACCGCAATATCTCTGCAATCTTTCCAGTAGATCCATGGATTTAATATTATAATTATCCATCCATGGTTACAACGAAGTAATCTCTATTTATTTTTAAAGAATGGTTTAAATAGTTAAATAAATACATCTTTATAGATTAAATAGAAAATAAAAAACACTCATCCCATACAATAGTACAGACCCACACAGACACTGAATGATCTAGCGGCAGATGAAATAAATGTAATTCAATTATAATAATAACGTAAAAAGACAAAATAATATATTAAATAATGTAAAAATATACAAAATAAGTAGAAAAAATTCCCAGAAATATAAACTAGAAGAGCGTACTTCGAATAGGGCAAAAACAAACAATGCGTTCGTCTATATTGTTAATTATCCTTTGTCTCTTAGGCATTGCGCAACCGAATACAAATTAAAATTACCGTATTTTTGATGAATATAATTATTTTTTACGTTTATGTATATGCGACATGTCTCTAGGCAGACTATAGATACAATAATGATGAATAGAACAGACAAATGAATGTATAATGTTAAGTATAATTAGCAGGCTGGTAGGGATGCAGAGATCGAGCTTAAACGTAAAGAAACCCCAAAATGTCATATACAATAGTTGTATTGTATTGTAATGTGTTGTGTTGTATTGCGTTGTATTGTATTGTGTTGTATTGTATTGTATTGTGTTGTATTGTATTGTGTTGTGTTGTGTAGTATTGTATTGTATTGTGTTGTATTGTGTTGTATTGTATTGTGTTGTACTGTATTTTGTTGTATTGTATTGTGTTGCATTTTATTGTATTGTATTGTAAATTTATTTAGATTGAGAAAAAATTTTTGGCAACGACAATGACGATGATAACAACAACAACAATAACAGCAAAGACAAAAAAACAACAATAGCAACATTATTAAAATAATAATATAAATAATAAAATAATAATATAAATAATAATTATAACAATAATAATAATAAAATAATCTAGATGATTCGAAGAGATTTAAGGTAATTAAAAACGAAATTCAACATAGAGGAAGCTTATCAAGATGGAATACATCGATAAATAACCAAGATTAGCTAAAAATAAGACACACATACATACATACAAAAACAAAGAGACATACAGATACACTAACACACACATACATAAATATACACACACATGCATAAATACACACGTAAATATATATCGGTGTGTGTGTGTGGTATGTATTTTTGTATGTATGTGTGTGTTTGTTTGTACGCTGTGTGTGTGTTTGTATTTGTGTATGTATGTATGTGTGTGTGCGTGTATGTGTGTGTGCGCGTGTGTGCGTGTGAGTTTGTGTGTGGCAATGTTTAAGATTGAAGACGAACGAGAATGGATGTATGTATGTGTATATGAATAGGGACAGATGATGGATTGCTGACTAGACACAGTTGTTGATGTATGTTAAGTTATCTTCTGCGTTCTTTTAGTGATGATGTTTGTTGATGTTTCCCTTGAAGTGGCTTTCGTTTTAAGGTTTGTGGTCTTGAAATGTTTTTGCTGTTGTTGTTGATGGCTCTATATTTTTGGAATGTTGTGTTGTTGGAAGTTGTTGAAGTTGTTGGCTTTATATTTTTGGAATGTTGTGTTGTTGGAAGTTGTTGAAGTTGTTGGCTTTATATTTTTGAAATGTTGTGTTGTTGGCTCTATACTAATGAGATATTGTCGGCTCTATATTTTTCAGATATTTCTAAAATATAAGCTCTGTACGCTCGTGCGTGTGTTTGAATAAATTAAATCTAAAATCAATTTCCTCTGCGAACCTCATATCGACATACTGCACTCAAAACTTGCCTACACTTGTAAGGTCCCCAACATCAATCTCGTAACGATACTGAAATTATTCTCAAGTACTTGAGAAAAGTACTCGAGTACCGAACTCAACTACTGGACGCGAGTACTTAAGTACTTAAGCACTCGACGCGGGTACTCGAGCACTTTATAAACAGTATTTACGGACTCGAAACATCCTACTAGAACACAAGTATCGTTACGACTATAAGTGTTGAAGAGGTTGAGAGCAATTCATTAATGATCCCCAATGAAATAAAATCACATTAAGCCACTTCGAAATTTTTCACAATTTTTCACCGTGAACTGCTTAAAAACTTTTTATAGAATAATATTAATTTATTTAAAAGCGGACTTTTTTCAACAGAGCTGTGTGTGTGTGTGTGTGTGTGGTGTGTGTGTGAAAGAGAGAGAAAGAACAAAAATGAAAAGAAAGAGAGAGAGAGAGAGAGAGAGAGAGAGAGAGAGAAAGAAAGATAAAGAGAGAAAAAAGAAAGAAAAACCGTGCATGTGTATTGTATAAATGTCTGAGGTATAAAAACTGGGCAGCCATTTAACGGCCATTACTTTATGCTCCCAAAGAGCCAGCCACACGACTAATAAACTCAACTTCCCATGCGTGTTAGTATGCACATACAAACTTGCACAATACACACACAAATAAGAAAACACACACTTATAGATCCACACATAAACATACACACCCACATAACACACACACACACATACACACATATACAGTACACACACACATACACGCATATATATACCACACACACATACACACATAAATAAAAACAAACATGCGTGAATAAACACAAAATGTATCACCACAAACACATACATATTTACTTACATACACATACAATCGTCCTTGTTGAGCAATGCCTTTGATTTCGTCGCTCAGGTGTATGTCAGCACACATAATACATGTGCAGTACATACATAAATGTTTACCTACATTGCATACATACATACAAACATACATGCATACTTACATACATACATACATACATACATACATACATACATACATACATACAAACATACATGCATACATACATACATACATACATACACACACATACACACACGTACATATACATACAGTGCCCTTGTATTGTATATGGTTTAGTTTATATATCTTGCGCCCCGATAATTCAGTTCAGTTCGTTCGTTCGTTCGTTCGTTGAATGTTCGCCGTTCCTGATTGAAAAAAAAGTCGTTTACTACTGGGATTGTCTAGGAATAATAATAAAAAATTATAATATTATTAAACATTATAATTATATAATATAGATATAATAATAATAATAATGTAATATTTATGGGATATATGGTAAGATATTCTATCTATCAACCAATCTATCTGTCTATCTGTCAATCCATTTCGTTTCCAATGCGGTTTTGAGAGGTTTTTATTTTTTAAATTTTAAAGTTGTTAAATATTGTGATTGTTATTTTGCTTTCTGCTTTATATATGTTTAAATTAATCAACTTTTAATTTTATTCATTGCTCATACTTTAATAATTTAATCGTTATAATAATAATAATAATGATAATAAGTATAATAGATATATAATTAATAAATAAATTAATTTAATTTTTTTTATTTTAGTTAAATAAATATTCATTTCTTAAATAGGTCGCGCCATTTCAAATATGTACTGATAAATAAATCAAAATTATTAGCTAACAGTTGGCTGAATGCATGTAAGTAATGTTGAATGACTCGAATAACTTACAATAGCGTTACGTAACAGAGCTAAATAACATCAAACAACATTAACAACAACAGCAACAACAACATTAACAACCAGAACAACGTTAACAAGCATACACACACACTCACATATATATATATACACATAACACAACTACAATACAACTATATCTCAAATATACAACTCAGAAACAAAAACCCCACAAATTCACTCCAAATACAAGCAAATACACGTTAACACAAACAGCCAAAATATCACAAACATCCATTCTATTATAAAAACTGTTGTTTTAGCTCAATTTCTCAGATAAATAACAACCCACCAACACGTCCAAACGCCTACAAACATACCCACCTACATGCCAACGATTTAATTTCCAGACATTTTTTTAACCCTAACCTACCCCTATGACTAAACAAGAATGCAAATACTGACTCCAAACCGATGTCATAATGTGGAAATAATCGAAGAAGAAATATTCCAAGAACTCTATGTACTACGAGACCATCTCCAGGTGCTACTGCAAGATTTAATTAATTTGTCGGAGTTACTGAAGCAGTTGCAAAATAATCTAATATCAACGATAAAAGCTGAGTTTTGTCATCCGCTCCAAGTTTATCAGAAAATAAATCCTGACTTAATATCAAGAATTAAAGAAATCCTTCGTTTGTTAGCTAACCTTAATTAATTACAAATACTGGAAAGTTGCTATAATTTGTTATTATCCGAATTGTCACTTAGCTTATCACTAAGATAATTGTTATTCAAGCTTCTTCGCTTCGTCAACCACTGCAACAGTTTGTACATTTTTTTTTTCTGATTTGCCTTGTTAAGTTTATCTATAATTTACTTCGTAATTACAGAATTGCTTATAACAGGACATAATGTAACGTAACCTAACACAGCTTGAAGGAATTATGAAGGGCGCGGACTACAAGTTTTTATGCCCCCAGCAGAAAATGTACAATAAAAATACTAAATGACAAAAATAAAATAAATAAATTAAATTATTATTATTGTTAATGATATAAATGTTAATGTTTTGTTATTTATCAAGATTTATATAGCGCTAATTAAAAGTACCAATGAGTTATTTTTCATTCAATTTGCGCAAAACATTGCAAACACACATTGTTATTATACACTTTTGCTCTATGAATATTTTTTCAATTTATTTCAATTTATGTTATTTTTTCACAATTATTATATACATACATGCAAAGAAGTAGAAAGAGAGAAATTTAACTAGAAACAAAACTTAGTTTTTCTGGCTATGCCTTCGCTAGGAATTAATTAACTCTAAAGCACTTCGGTAATTCGCTTTTGTTTTTCTTTTCTTACTTTATTCTCTATCACTTTTTCATTTTTTTTGTTTGTTTGTCTCTGTCTGTATTTCTCTCTTTCTTTTTTTCTCTCTCTCTCACTTTCTCACTCTCTGCATTTTACTCCTTTTTTATCTCTCTCTCTCTCTCTCTTTTTTCTTCTCTTTTTACCATTTTTTTCAGATTTTTCTCGTGCTTCTGTTTCTTTTTATCTACCTTTTTGTCATTTTCTGTTTCTGTTTCTTTTTTTTTCTTTCTTTCTCTTTCTCTCTCTTTCTTTCTTTCTCTCTTTCTCTCTTTCTCTCTCTTTCTCTCTCTCTCTCTCTTCTCTCTCTCTCGTTGAACATTTTGCGACAAAAGGTATGTTTAAAATAAATTTTTCATGTAGATTTACTTCAGAGTTTCATCTGCCAGCAATATAATTTCTGGTGCAGGATAGACTGAAGAGAATTTTTTTGATTTGTTAAAAATTTTTATTTCTGTCACTTTTCATTTGAGTTACTCGCTTTCATTTTGACGCCTTGTTTTAATGTTATTGTCAACTACATCAACGACAGCAATTGTGCGATCACATCAATAGTACCAGCAACAACACTTAAACGAAAAGGACCAGAGACAACAACAACATCTACGCATTCAAAGAACCACAGATTGATACACACCTCACAACGGTAAACTAATGGACCCTCCAACTACAGAATCTGTTGCCGACGCAACATCAGCAGCAGCAACCACAACAACATCAACCACAACAACAACATCAACCACAACAACAACATCAACCACAACAACAACATCAACCACAACATCAACATCAACCACAACATCAACCACAACATCAACATCAACCACAACATCAACAACAACAACTTCATCAACAATACCATTAAAAACAGTCGGAACAACATCAACATCAGCAATAAGACCGACACCACCAACAACAAACGAAATATCAGCGAAAGAAGTCCCTTCAAAAATGGAACCGACAGCAAACCCAACAACAACAACAGAAACAACTGCAGTAGAATCAACTGCAACATCTTCAAACATGTTGTCGCCAAAACAAGCTGCAACAATTACAACGTCAACAAAGACGATGACGACATCAGCTTTTGCAACATCACCGCCACCACCGCCACCACCACCACCACCACCACGCCCACTTCCGGCAGCAATATTTTCATCTCTTCCGCCATTACCGCAAACGTCACGCGTTCAAAAAGCAAAAAATGTAGCGTCAGCATCGACTACATCAGCCACAACAACTGCAACGTTGTCGACAACGACGACGACGAGATCAGAATCATCAATTACGATATCAAGAGCACAACCAACAACGACAACATCAACAACAACAGCATCAACATCGTCTGTAGCAGCAGCAGGACCAGCCGCTGCAGTAGCTTCAACAGCATCTGCAAGAGAAGCACCAGCTCCAACAGCAAACAGACCGAACCTGAAGCCGTCTAAACACTTTAAAGCCCGTTTCAGCGAGAATGATGATGTCCAAGCGTCAATAGCAGATGACGACGATGACGTGATTGTGGCAAGTAGATTGAGTAGGAGGAGGAAGAAGACCCCCAGCAGATCCTCCATGCCCAACCTTAACCTTCCCAATTCCGGTTCGTGATTGGCTGGCGCGGTTTTGAAATTAATGACAAAACAATTATAACATTATTAATAAATATTACTAATAACGTTGTATCAATCGCATTAATATGATATTATTATTATTATTATTATTATTGTTATTATTATTGTTATATTATTATTAATAGTAGTAGTAGAGTCTGTACTGCAATAGTAATAAAAGTGGTAATAGAAATAGTAGATTATAATAGTGCAGTAGTAGTAGTAGCAGCGACAGCAGAAGTAGTAGTAGTAGCAGTAGTAGTAGTAGTAAAAGAAGTAGAAGCAGCAGCAGCAGTAATAGTAGTAGTAGCAGTAGTAGTAGTATAAGTAAAAGTAGAAGCAGCAGCAGCAGCAGCAGTAGTAGTAGTAGTAGTAGAAGTAGAAGCAGTAGTAATACTAGTAGTAGTAGTAGTAGCAGCAGCAGCAGCAGCAGTAGTAATTGTAGTAGCAGTACTAGCGTTAGCGATATAAAAATAAGTTCGTCTGTTTTCACTTTTAATGTTCTGGTGACGTCACTCGCTTTTAATTTATCAGAATTTTTTCGGAGTCAAGAATGAATTTTTCATATAAACAATCGGATAGGGAAAAAAAATTCTGACACACATTGCATGTCAAATTGTTAGAAGATCTAAATATTTCGGATATTTAGAGATGACGATATTGTGGCATCACGATAGGATTGTGTAAACGCATTTTATTGAGTTCGTTTAAAATTGGTGCTATATAAATCTTTAAATTTAATACAGTACAATATTATACAACACAATACAATACAATACAATACAATACAATGCAATTCAATACAATACAACACAATACAATACAATTTAATACAATACAATACAATACAATTCAATTCAATTCAATTCAATACAATACAATACAATACAATTCAATTCAATACAATACAATTCAATTCAATACAATACAATACAATTCAAATTCAATATAATACAATACAATACAATTCAATACAATACAATACAACACAATACAATACAATACAATACAATACTATTCAATTCAATTAATTTCAATTCAATTTAATTTAAGACAATACAATACAACGCAATACAATACAATACAAATGCCACAAAATACAATACAATCCAACACATTATGATACCATGCCAATCGATATATCAAGATATGTCACGATACTATACGGTATGCTATGATACTGCGCTATGCAATGGAGATTAATTTAGCGATGATTAACATGGCATTGGAGTAGAAGGATGATGATGACGGCATGATGATGACAATCACTCTAATCACCACGATTATGCTGATGATGATGGTTTTGGGAAGAATGGTGTTAAAGATGATGATGGTTTTGTAGCTAATGACGATGACGATGGTAAAACATGTAAGATGATTAAGATGGTTTTGAAAAAATTGAGATGACGATAAAGATGATAAAGATGAAGAAGAAGAAGATGATGATGATGAAGATGGTGAAGAAGAGGAAAAAGATGATGAATAAAATGAAGGATCAATTACCCTCACTTTTGCATCTCCTATTACACTCCATCTATTTTTCCTTTCCAAATTTTTCAGGCCTTTTTCACTTCCTCGCGTTTTCCTGCTATCTTCTACAAACACACACACACACTTACACACACGCATAAACACACACACACACTTACACAGACGCATAAACACACACACTTACACACACGCATAAACACACACACACACTTACACACACGCATAAACACACACACACACTTACACACACGCATAAACACACACACACAAACAAACAATCACACATACACACTTGTGCATACGTTTTTATACACCAATTTGCATACATATAGATACACGTATGTTCAGAGACACAAACACCGTATTGTAGTTTTGCATGCACACATACGCATACATACACACATAACACATACATACATCCACACATATAAACAAACACACATACACATTTTTACATACACATATATACACACACACACATACACACACATATACGTGCACATACAAAAGCAATATATAAACATACATACACACATATACACATACATACACAAACATACATACACACATATACTTTTTTAAATTTTAATTTTTTATAAACACACATATATATATACACGCACATATAAACACGTTCACACACTTACAAATAAACCCACAAAAAGTCATCATGATGTATATGCGCATACATCACACATTTGTGGATAGATATTTCATAAGAAGATAAAGACTTGTGATATGTCGAGAATTTCATGCAGTTTTTTTTTTTTTGAAAATAAATTGTACAAACAAACAAATATGATCACGCACGCAACAAGCTCACATCTTTTTATTAATTTTTCTTTGTTTTTTTTGACAATGTTCTTATTCCTACCCGTAAATGCTTTTTCGTTGGGTGTTCATGTTGGAATATCACTTTTTATGTGGTCACGTGTGTGTGTGTGTGTGTGATTGTGTGTGTGTGTGATTGTGTATGTGTGTGTATGTGTGTGTGTGTGTGTTTTTAAGTCTGCATGTATGTTATGCGCTTGTATGTGGTGTGGGTTGCATGGGTCGTGAGTTGCAGAGCCGCGATATTAAATAATGCATGATTAACGATAAGATGATTGATCGTACGTTACGATGAGTACAAAACTTTTTTCCTCTTCTTCTCCCCATCAGATCGCTCTCCAAGAGATGCATCTAGCGGGATGGTTGCGCATGAAGCTGCTGTGGCGTCGGCAGAAGTCCGGAATGAAGCTGCTGCGTCTGCAGTAGTCCGAAATGAAGCTGCGGCGTCTGCAGTAGTTCAGAATGAAGCTCCTATGGCATCTGCAGCAGTCCGGAATGAAGCTCCTATGGCATCTGCAGCAGTCTGGAATGAAGCTCCCGTGGCTTTAGCAGCAGCCCAGAATGAAGCTCCCGTGGCTTTAGCAGCAGTCCGGAATGAAGCTCCCGTGGCTTTAGCAGCAGCCCAGAATGAAGCTCCCGTGGCTTTAGCAGCAGTCCGGAATGAAGCTCCTGTGGCTTTAGCAGCAGTCCAGAATGAAGCTCCTGTGGTTTTTGTAGCAGTCCCGAATGAAGCTCCTGTGGCTTTAGCAGCAGTCCCGAATGAAGCTCCTGTGGCTTTAGCAGCAGTCCGGAATGAAGCTGCTGTGGTTTTTGTAGCAGTCCCGAATGAAGCTGCTATGGCTTTTGCAGCAGTCCAGAATGAAGCTACTGTGGAGTTTGCAGTAGTCCAGAATGAAGCTACTGTGGAGTCTGCAGCAGTCCAGAATGAAGACGCGGCGTCTGAAGCTAGCCAAAATGAAGCTGCTGCATCTGGATCTTCATCTTCTTCGTCGTCATCTTCCGCTTTAGTTGGATTTCGTCTATTGAGGTTTTTATTTCCTTTCTCAAATTCTTCATCGTCGCCAGAGGAAGATACACGAACGAAATTGTTCTGGGTGCAGTACACCAGTTGGCAGCGATTCTTTGTGGTCGTTGCACTTTTTATGTTATTCTACGTTTCCGATTGGGCATTCGCTCTGTTTCTGTATTTGTTCTTCCCGCTTGTTTTTCTTGCCTTCATGTCCGGCCTGTTTGTCCACGCGTTTGTTGAAAATAGCGAGGAGAACCACCTGGTCATCTGCTTCTCCACATTTATCTCACTCCTCTCCGAATCAACGGCTCCATTTGATTTCGTTAGAAGATGGTACAGAGGGTGCCTCGGCTATCAGTACTTCGAGACAGCCTGTCGTTTTGTTAATTGTAGTGGTGAATGGATGAAATTACGTTCGTATTCAATTTACACAATAGTCACGGGCACACTGCTTATCTGCTTGCTCGGGCCCTACCATTTGCGACAAATCGGAAGGGTTGATTTGATTTTATTCATGTTCATCGCCGCTCGAATTTTCGCCGACAAGTCCATGCCATATTGTTTCGGGAGGATTATAGCGATCGTGAGTTTGTACCTTGGGTTTGTCTGCGCTCGACATTTCGAAAAGGTTCTATCTAAAGTTTCAGGAAAAATGATTCGAAGGACATCTCTAGTGACTATTGAAGAACCGCCTGCAGACAGGCAGGTAGAGCCAGGTGCCGTCATAAACTACAATCGTTATTTAGTTGACCCTGAAAACGAGGCAAGCAGTTCGAACCGGAATAGCACATCATCGGATATCCCGGCATCTTCTAACTCGAATAGGCTCAGAACCGAATCGGATGAATCCGAGATAAACGCTCCAGTCCTTCCTCACTCTTTGAACCGGAGGCGATCCAGTCCAAGCCGTCATTTGCAGTACCTGCAAATGCTCCACGAACAACAACAACTAGTCATTCAACAACACGCTCAACAACAACAACCGCAGCAAAACGATCAGCAGCAGCAACAACAACAACAACAACATCACGACGAACAACAACAGCAACACAATGAACAACAACAACGGCAACTCGATGAACAACAACAACAATATCATTCATCAACAGAACAACTACATTCTGCAACAACAGGGCGGCGACAAAGTTTAACGAGCGAACAACAACAACATCCAACAAACGAACAACAACAACAGCAGCGGCAACAACAGCAGCAGCAGCAACAACAACAGAGATTTCAACATCACAGGCACATAACACAACGATCACTTAATGATAGACGAGTATCGATGCCAAATCTCGACGGCAAGAGACCAGTTAGTGTTGTTGTTGTCGTTGTTGTTGTCATTGTTGTTGTTGTTACTGTTGTTGTTATTTCTTTTACTGCTACGGCATCTGCTGCTGCTGCTGCTACTACAACAACAACAACAACAACTACTACTACTACTACTACTACTACTACTACTACTACTACTACTGCTACTACTACTACTACTACTACTACTACTACTATTTCTACTACTACTACTACTACTTCTACTACTACTACTACTGCTACTACTACTACTACTACTACTACTAATAATAATAATAAATATAATAATAATAATACATCTACTACCAATAATAATAATAATGATGGAAGATAAAACTAAAATACAACTAGACAAAACAAAAGTAGAAATGTTGAAAACCTTTGAAATTTTAAAAATTCTTTATGCCCTGAAAAAACGCAACTGAAACGCAGTCCTCCCAAACCATTAAACAACAACAACAACAAAAATAACATTAATAACAACAAACAGAACATATACTACAATGACAATAATAGAAATAACAACAACGACAACAACAACAACCCAAATAGCAACAAATATAACGCGAATAACAACTTAAACAACAACAATAATATAAATTACAACAACAACAAAAACAACGATTACGTAAACAAAAATAGCAACAACAATAAGGTGAACAACAACGCGATGAACATTAATATGCTTCCTTTATCTATGTACATTGTACATAGAGTCGATGTTAACCAATAAAATTTGTTATCATTCGTACACACTCACACACACACACACTCACACGCACACACACACGCACATATATACCCACACACTCACATACATACATACCATACACACACATACACGCACACATACACATATACCCATACACTCACATACATACATACATATTTAAGCGCCTATGAGAATGTTTTTAATAGGCGCTATATAAATGATCATATAATAATAATAATAATAATAATAATGATAATAATAATAATAATAACAATAACAATACCATGCATACACACGCACACACACATGCCAAGAACAAAAATTATGTTGCCAATTTAACTTGATGGGTGATAGTGGTACTACTCGTCTGTTTTCATCCCCACTCACACATGCACACATACAAATAAACAAACATGAAATACACACACACACACACATACATACATACACATACATCCTTCCGATCAACCGAGCGAAATTTATCTTTTATCCCGATTACAAAGTTAGCGACGGGTTACCGCAACTTTGCGGTTCTTGGCCCGGTTGATTGGAATGGCTTACCTCCTTACCTACGTGACCTTAACCTATCATATTTACAATTTCGAAGTCAGCTTAAAACTTATTTATTTGCACGATGATCGTCCGTCTTATTTGTCTATGATTCAGTTGCGCTTTTGAGTTTCAACAATAAAAAAGCGCTATATATAAATTTCCGTAATAATATATATATATATATATAAATATATATATATATATATATATATAGAGAGAGAGAGAGAGAGAGAGTAAATTAAGTACTTCAAAAAATCTTACACTAATAGCAAAACCACCAACAAATTCTTTGGAAAAATGTAAAATAATAATAATAATAAAAACAAAAATAATCACAACAACAACAATAACAATAATAATAATAAAAACAATAATAATAATAATAATAATAATAAGCGAAGAGTACAAAACACATTATGCCAAAAAAAATCATGCATACCAGTGCATAGAAGGGAGGCGAAAACATACAAACAGAACCGTGTGCTTGCGTACAAAACCATTTATAATACCAGATACACACAGATACGAACCACTCATACCAAACAAACATACAACAACATCTAGGCGTACTATGTATATGCTATGTTGTTGTAGTGTTGTGTCTGTGGGAGAGGAATGAAATTTTTTTTTAAATCTTCAATATTTACAATCGATATAAATAGTCGTTTTTAAATTCATATTTATCGGTACCCCATCGCACGTAAAAAATACGCTACTCCTTAATTAGAGGTATTTAACAATGTGATGATCTCAAACTATCGAGCCGCGATGCTATCACTCACACATGTGGCCTCATGAAGTAAACTGCCATAAAAAATGTATATATACCCAAATGCTAAAAAGTTATAAAAATACAAATATATACAACCGAAACATACATACAAAGTGAAGGAATAGAGCAAAATACAATGAAATACTCTACTCAAGCTGACAAAAATACAAAAATTACGTAATTACACACACAAATATACAAAACGATTTCTCTCTGCGGAATACCTCCTGCTTGTGTACTAATAAACTCAAGGGTATCGTTCTCAAGTCTGAATGAACCTAAGTTCGTATTTAGGACATGGTTACATAGACACATGAACACACATACAAACACACATACAAACAGACAGACACACACGCATACACACACACACACACAAATATATAAACATACACACATTTACAAAAACGTTTAGTGGAATTTTTGACCGACACGTATAAACGTGCATATAAATACACTTGAATTTTGACATACTTACAAACATTTAATTATATAAACTATAGACCCACATACACACACACACACACACCACACACATACACATACACACACACACACATCTTTTTCAAATTTTCTAAAGAGAATCGTTAGCGGAATACCTACTAACTTAACATGCGTGTAATATTATCTCGTCAATCAAATTTTTTTTCTTCAAATTCTTTAGTAAAACTTCTTGAAATATAATGATTCTTTAGTATTTTTTTGTCAATTAAAAACGCAATTAAAATAAAAAAATCTTCCAAAATAACAAAACGTTACGGTAATAACGAGACGGAATATTAGTAGTAACGATAGACGATATCATTAATAACGAGACAGTGTAATGATGATAACCTTAACGATAACGAGACGTAATCATAATAATAACTTGACGGTATTTACTAATAATAACGAGACATTATGTTGTGATAACTAGACACAATATCATCAATAACGAGATCTAATGTTAATGACATGGATATCCATAATGTTAACGAGACGTAATAGCAAAACGTTGCACCGTTTTTTTAATCATTAGCCCATTCATCTGTTAATTCGAAAAATTAATTTTTCGTATAATTAATTAATTATTCACTTATTAATTTAATAAGTCAGTTAATTAGTTAATTAGTAGGTGAAAAAACCAACAGTTTCACGGAAGAAACTTTTTCAAAGTGAGAAACAAAAGTTTTTTTTGAGAATTAATGAACCCACTTGTTAAGAATTTATTGATCGTTAGTAATTATTATTATTGTTATTATTATTGTTATTATTATTGTTATTATTATTTTTATTATTGTTATTATTATTATTATTATTATTATTATAATTATTGTTATAAATAACAATAATAACTAAAATATTAATACTACTACTTTAATTTAATAATAATTATGTTGACGATAAATCTAATTTAATAACAAGAAATTTGAAGTAATAATAATGGTGTTAATAATGGTAGCAATAACAATATAAGAATAATAATGGATACTGTATCATCATGTTTGGCATCCACGAGAGAGACGCCGGACGAGGGGGCAGGACCCGACTTTCCCCTCGTAAACAGGAAGCCGATCTCTATGTTTACCATAAAATTTGATTGATAACGCCAAAATAATAAGAATGATTGAACCCCAATTGAACAATTAAACCAACCCTTCTAGAATGTACTCACTTGCAGTGACGAGCATTTTAGATTAAATAGGTTTTATAATTATTTCATTATTAATATTTGGTATTTGGAGTTAGAAAATAAAAGGATGTTCCCATTATTATTATTATTAGAAAGCCAGAATAATAAAAGTAAAACCGAGAATTTTATTTTACAGAGAAATTATTGTTTCAAAGAAGTTAAAAAATCCCATCACTTTTTAATAATTACCGTGTCTTGCTGAGGAGAAGTTTTGAAGTATAAAATAAAAATAATTATTTTATATAAAATAATCGTTTAATTCAAAAAGAATGTTCTTAGAGTTTAATGTCAGAACAGGCGTAGTAAATTATTTTTTTTTTAGTTTAAAGATTTAAAAAATTTTGTTTCAACGAAATCGATTGTTTATTTTTCTCTCGAAGTAGCACCATAAAACGCTATCATTTTTTCTCCACTTCGAAACAAAGAAACATGAAATTTGTCTTCATTTTTTAAAATTTAAAAACAAACAAAAAATTTGTCTTTATTTCTTCTTCTTAATCTAAAAACAAAGTAACATAAAATTCGTCTTCGTTAAAACAAAGTGGAAAGATTTTTTCCCCGATATATCGAAGTGGGATGTTAATAACTGAAAGCCATTATCTTTATCATCGTTACAATAAACCATTTAACATGGAGGAGCCACTTAATTCGAAGTTTGTTTTTATATTATATACCGGAGTCTTGCTTTCATACCTCTGTCATCATCACCGTCATCATCATCATCATCATCCTTATCATCATCATTATCATCATCGTCTTCATCATCATCAACATCGTCGCCATCTCGCTAGAATGTTGTGATACTATCATCATTATCCATTATCATTATCATCGTCTTCATCATCATCATCTTTATTATCATCATCGTCGTCGTCATCTCGCTAGAATGTTGTGATACTATCATCATTATCCGTTATCATTACCATCATCGTCATCCCCCTAGAATGTTGTGATACTATCCTCATTATCCATTATCATTATCATCATCTTTATCATCATCATCATCTCACTAGAATGTTGTGATACTATCATCGTTATCCATTACCATCATCATCATCTTTAGCATCATCTTTATCATCATCATCAACTCACTAGAATGTTGTGATACTATCATCATTATATCTTTTCATTCGTTTCATTATTACCGCTTCTGGCACTAATATTATCAGCTATATCGTCAATGCTTTCTTCAATTCCATTATTATTATTGTTATTATTATTATTATTATTATTATTATTATTATTATTGATGTTGTTGTTGTTGTTGTCATCATCGTTCTCGTCATCGTCGTCACCTTCGTCGTAGTGTAATTGGTAAGGTGCTTGATAACGCTGCTGCTGTTGCTTGCAATGACTTGGATCGAACGCAAATAGATTCCAGCCTCTCACAAAGAGAACTCTTTCACAGGTGTTGTTGATTCAGATGTACATATTTCTTAATACTGAAAAGACAATTGTGAAAAACACACAACGACAAAAACAACAACAACAAAACAACATCACAGACAACAACAACAACAAAGTAACAAACAACACTGCAAACTGCAGCAACAAACAATATCACCAATAAAACACCAATACACAATAAAGCAACAACAATAAAGCAGCAACAAAACAACAACAAAACAACAACAAACAAACATCACAAAACAGCAACACGAACACAACACACACCCACACTCAACATCGACAAACCTGGCACCCTCAAAAAACCACAACTCATTAAATTCTTTAGAAAAAAACATTGGCAATAAAGAACATCAAACCAAACACCAAAAAATACTTTTACACCATAAAAAGTCCTAAAAACCATCAACTCTAACACCACCACCACCAACAACAACAACATTAACATCATGACACTAACAAAGCAACATTAATACGGTAATAGCAATAACAACAACAACAAATTTAACAATAACGCATAAATAACATCGCCAACTAGTAGATACTTGAATAGATAAACTTATTCTTTTCTTGTTTTCATTATCTCTCTTTTTTTCTCTTTCTCTCTTTTTCTTTCTAACTTTCTCTCATTCTTTTTCGTTCTTTATGTCTCTCCCTCTTCATCATTCTCTCTCTTTCTCTCTACCCCCCCTCTCTCTCTCTCTCTCTCTCTTGTTCTATTTCACTTTCGTCGCCTCACATGAAATGAACTTGATGAAAGAAATATATGATTTTGCCTGATGGTGTTGTTGTTGTTGATGTTGATGATGATGATGATGACGTTGAAGATGACGTCATTTCAAATGGGATGGATGGGATGATAATGTGTTAGTTAGTGGTTTGAGTGCTGATAGATTGATTGATTTGTTTATTCATTCATTCAATCATAAGAAAAATCTATCTATTCATTTGTTTGTTTGTCTGTTTGTTTGTATGTTTGTTTGTATGTTTGTTTGTATGTTTGTTTGTATGTTTGTTTGTATGTTTGACGTCATCATGTTTTTCACAGCAAACGTTGTTGCATACAATTTTTTGTTATTTTTATTGGTTATTTTTTCAATGTTTTTATTTCTTTCCAAACCATACCTGCTTTTATATTTGCTTTTGAGTTAGTTGGGGTTTTTGAATTGTCTGTTAACATATTCGATCCTTTGTTCGTTCGTTCTTTCGTTCGTTCGTTTTTTCGTTCGTTCGTCCATTCATTTGTTTATTCATTAGTTTTTTTAATCATCTCTATGTTCATTAATCAGATCAGTTAATTTTAATGTTCTTTCGTTGATTCATTCTTTTGTTTCATTTTTTCATTTGTTTGTCTGTTCATTCATTCATTCATTTGTTCTTTCATTCATTCATTTGTTTTGGTTCATTCATTCATTCATTTGTTTTTTCATTCATTCATTTGTTTTGCTTTATTCAATCATTTGTTTTAGTTCATTCATTAGTTTTTTATATTTTCAAATTTCTTCGTTTTTTCTCATTTTGTTTTCTTCATTTGTTCCTCTTGAAAATTTTCTTTCAAGTTTTGTTTGCAGTTCGACACGTTATTAGGAGAGCAGAAGGGTAGTCATGACTGCAACAAAAATAAACACACACAAACACACTCACACACTCACAAACAAACAAACACACACACATGTGTACATACCTCATAGCTTTTATCAACAAGGGGGCCATACATACACACATACACACACACACACATACACACACACACACATACACACATACATACATACATACATACATACACACATACACACACACATACACACATACATACATACGTACATACACACATACACACACACACATACACACATACATACATACATACATACATACATACACACATACAAACACACACATACACACATACATACATACATACATACATACATACATACATACATACATACATACATACATACGAAACGAAACGAAACGAAATTATTTATTTGCTTCTCAAAATTGAAAATTAAAAGAAAGCAGGATGACCATAATAGAATTTATATGAAATTCATCTGGTATAGCCACCTAAACAGAAATGTTCCATGTTCACACAAATTTTCAGCAAATAATAAAAATTTTCCCTAAATGATCTATGAGAGGTATGCTAGATGTTAGTTGTTAGTAAATTAACAAACTCAACTATGTTAGCAAAACAGGTGTTAGTTGTTAGTACGATGGTTCATGGTTTATGTATAACAATGTTTGGTATCTATCCAGAAAAACACGGGATAGACATTACATAGTTATCTATATATTTAAGCAATATATAGAACGACATTGTTCTAAAAGTTAAAGAGAAATGTGATGTAATATATGTATGTAATGTATGAAATACATACATACACACATACATACATACGAAACGAAACGAATATTTTATTTGCTTCCCAAAATAACAATCAAGAAGGCAGGATGACTATGATCGAGCTCGTGATGAGCTCATCTTGCACAGCCACCCTGTAACAAATAAAACAACAAATGGTAAGAATATTCAGGAAAATGTAACATATGTAACATCATATAACTAAATTATTTTGACTAAATCAACAGAACTTAATTCTTAAATTTCAAATAAAATTTTTCAGTTTCTGCCTAAATTTAACATCAGACACTGAGTCAATTTTAAAATTGTTCTTTAAATGCAAATTCCAAATTCTTGGTCCTTTGCAATATACGTGGAAGAAGAGAATGTTTGTTTTTGATGAATTTGATCTAATGTAATTTTGTGTCTTGTTGTTGCTGCAAGTGTAGTAATTATTGAATATTGATGGCAACTTGTTTGTCAGTTGTTTGTAGACAAAATTAGCCGTGTGCGATTGCTTTGTTGATGATGTAACTAGCCGTACTACCCCCTCTTCATTGTTAATCGGATGGGATCGGTGATCGTGCGATAGGTACCAGCCCAGACTACGTTGCAGTAAGAGATGTACGCTACGCATATGGCGTTATAGAGCATATTTAACGTTCTTCTTGGAACGTAAAATCGAACTTTGTTGATAACGCCAAGTGCTTTCGCCATTTTTCCTGATACGTAATTTACGTGGTGTCGAAAACTTAATTTTTGGTCAAGGTGGACACCTAGAAATTTAACTGATTTGCTTTCGCTTATTTCTAGTCCATTAATTGTAATCTTATACGGTTCTTTGTAGTTCAGATACTGAACCGGCCCAAAAATAATCATTTGAGATTTTTTGTTGTTCAACGTTAATTTGTTGTTTTGAAACCATTTGACCACTTCTTTAATGGCAATATTGGTTTTATTTAAAAGTTCATGAATATTTTCACCTTTACTAAAAATATTAGTGTCATCGGCATAACAAACAAAATCAAAAAACTTCGATGCCTTGGGAAGATCGTTTATAAAGATCACAAACAGTAGTGGACCCAATATGCTTCCCTGAGGAACTCTAAAGTTATTTGTTAGTATTGTCGAATTTTTGTTCTGCCATCTAACAAACTGTTTCCTATCGGTCAAGTAGTTACTAAGCCATCTTAGGGGTGTTCCACGGATTCCATAATAATTTAACTTTTCCATCAAAATGCTGTGGTCGATGCAGTCAAAGGTTTTGGCAGATCGATGCAAGTTCCAACGACAAAGTTTTTATTTTCTGCAGCTACTCCAATTTTACGGATCAACTCCACGATTGCCAACTCTGTTGAGTGTTTATCACGGAAGCCAAATTGAGAGTCTGAAATTATGTTATACTTTTGAAGAAAATTGACAATTCTTTTGTACATCAATTTTTCCGTAATTTTTGAAAAGGCCGGTAGTAACGCTACAGGTCGATAGTTGGTTATATCGGTATTACCTGTCTGCTTTGCTATTGGAATTACTTTTGCCACTTTGAAACATTGAGGAAATATGCCTGTCGCAAATGAAAAATTTACCAGATAACTCAAAATTTGAGCTGTTGAGTTGATTGTGGAAATAACAATTTTTGAAGGAATGTCATCAACACCACTTGAATATTTGGGTCGTAAACTTTTTGCCGTCTCGACAACTTCTTCAAATGAGGTATCAAGACAAAAAAAAGAATTTGAAAGTTTATGGTGCATTGTTTGCTTCCATTCAGAATTTTTCGTAAAATCTTTCATCAAATTTGGAGCTAGGCTTATGAAGTGTTTGTTAAGTGCATCTTCAGGATTGACTAAAACCTGTTCATCTGAGGTTAGTAACTTTTCATTTTTATCATCTTTACTTTTATTTATTATTTTTAAAATATTCGACCACGTTTTTTTGCTGTTATTTTTTGTTCGTTGAAACGAGTCACTGAAGTATTGTTTTTTAGCTTATTGTTGAGATTTGAGCAACGTTTGGCAATTGATTTAAATTTCGTGTATCTTATCCCGGTTGGATTTTCGAGAAATTTTTTATATAAAGAATTTTTATTTTTGAGTAAAATACTAAATTCTTTTGTAACCCATGGTTTGTTACAGAGAAAATTTCTAGATTTTTTAACATTTTCCATTAAGCAACAGTCATCGAAAAGTTTTTTAAATAGGTCAATGAAAAGTTTGAAAGCATCATTTACATCATTGCATAACAAAACATCTGACCAATCGTTGATACATAAAGCTTCATTAAGTTTGTTTATTCTACTTTTTGAAAAGGAGTAGATTTGTTGATTTTTTACGTATTTGGACTTATTTTTGTTAATGGAAGAACTGATAGTGACAGTGATGGGCAGATGGTCCGATCATGAACGTGCACACCACATAACGCTACCTGTTGCGGAAAGTTTGTGAAAAAGCAGTCGATGATTGATTGCTTTTCAACACTGATTCTTGTTGGAAACGTTATTAACTGATCAAAACTGTAGCAGGTAAAAAGTTGACATAAATACATTTTGTTAACATCATCGTTCGTGTCACTCATATCAATGTTGAGATCACCTGTGATAACAACATGCTTGTTTTCAACGTCTATTTGTTGCAATATAATTTCTAATTGCTGCAGGTAATAGATCGCGTTGCAACTGGGTGGTCTGTATAATACAACAATGACGAAATTTTTGGTTGAAGGGTCAGTCTTTAATTCAATTGCGAAAGTTTCAAAATCTAGACCTCCCAACTTGTTTAAATCATCTCTTGTCTTGAAGGTCAAGTTATTGCTTACGTAGAATCCTACTCCTCCACCGTGTTTGCTCAATCGATTTTTTCCGATGAATTTGAAACCGTTCATACAAATCAAATCTTCTGTACTATCATTAAGCCATGTTTCAGTGATGGCTACGACGTCAAATGTGCACACAAAATTGTTTAAATAATCAAACAACTCATCTGCCTTGTGTATTAAACTTCTGATGTTGATATGCATGAGATTAAAATATGATTTTACATTGGAATTATTGTAATGTATTTGTTTAAATTGGTTATTAAATTGGTTTATATTTTCAAATTTTTGGCACCTGTTGTTAAGTGTTTTGCGGTGGTTTTCTTTGTTTGCTGCATTTGTGCTAATCATGTTTCACATTATTACTTTTTTCGGGTTTTTTCTGGTTGAAGCGCCACTCACGAACGATGATGTGCTTCAAAATGATGTCAGGATCTTTCATCTTGCTGGCGTCACAACTTTCGACACACACTCTGAAAACATTGTGGACTGCTCATCATCATTGTTGTTTTTGTTACCCTCAATCAAATTATTTGTCTTTTTAACAACAGGAAAACACGAAATTACCTTGATTCCATTTGTTGACAAGTATTCAACAACATCATCACGGTGGCATCGCTGAATGTTGCTCATCATGAAAAATGACTTTTTATCAGCTGTTTCTCCGCTTTCAATTTGCAATCATTGCTGACTTTGTTTCCAACAATTTTATTTGAAACTTTTTTGCAACCTCTGAATATTTCATGGTGTTGTTGTTTTGATGGTTGGCGTTGTTGCTTTCGGTTTCACTGCGATTGGTGCTACTGTTGTCTGACCGTGGACGCTTGTTTTTGCGCAGTACGAGACTGAACGGTAAGTTCTCCACTGGTGTTGTTACTCTGTTTGACCAGAGATTTTTGCCCTGTAGAATGTTATCTTGCTGCGCGTTATTAGTCGTTGGAATTTCGTTGTTGACATTTTTTTCGTTGTTGACATTTGACGACTTTCGCCAACAAGAGAGTTAAGTTTATTTTTTACGTTATCCAACTCGGTAGTGTAAGACAAAAACATTTTGTTAATTTCAGCTTGTTGACTGAACAACATTTCTTTTATTTGTTTGCTAACAAAGTCGAAATTTATTTTCAGCCAGTTTTTCGTGTTTTGTATTTTGTTTATATCTGAACTGCAAAATAATGCTATTCTATCCAACAAATTGTTATTTTTAATATACCTGAATAAAGTCAAGCATTCCAGAAGTTTTTCACGTTTTGAATTCCCGCGCGAGGGAAATTTTTCTATTTTTCTAGCTTTTGTGATTCTATTTCACATTTTAATGTTTTAATTGTTAAAACAATATCGTCACTAGTATAAAATTCACTAGTATTATTAATAAATGATTCTTCCTCTAATAAATTTAAATTATTATTAACAAAATTAGGGAGCTCATTTATTTTGACCGGTCTCGACGCCATTTTTTCGATACATACACACATACATACATACATACATACATACATACATACATACATACACACATACACACATACAAACACACACATACATACATACATATATATATACACACATACAAACACACACATACATACATACATACACACACACACATACATACATACATAAATACATACATACACACACACATACATACACACATACACACACACACACACACATACATACATACATACATACGAAACGAAACGAATTTTTATTTGCTTCTCAAAATTAATCTAAAAAAAAGAAAAAAAGAATTCTCTCCCCTTTATATCAATAGGAAGAAGACAGGATGACCACAGTAGAGTTCTTTTCATAAACTCATCGAGTGTGACCACCTTGACATAATTTTTAAAATGTTATAAGTTTTCAACAGAATTTTAACGTAATTTCAAAAACTAAAAATTTATGTTTTAAACTTAAGTAAATATTCTTTTAACTTTTTTTTAAAATTGTTTAACGAAATAAATTCAAAATTAAATCCACTGTTTAAAATTTTGTTCCAGATTCTCGGTCCCTTGCAATACACGTGAGAAAACAAAATATTCGTTTTCGATTT